TATATATATGTGTGTGTGTATGTCACTTTGTTTATTCATTAGCATTCTATGTATGTATGTATGCATGTATGTACGCACTTGTGTATGTATGCATGTGTGTGTATGTATGTATGTATGCATGCATGCATGTACGTAGGTATGTATGTATATATTATATATACACACATACATTGATTCATTCATTTGTTTACTTAGGTATGTGTGTTTAAGCTTGCAGAACGACATTCTGCATGCGTCCACGGTGCGCGCATGGATTTCACGGCTGTGTCCAAGTCTCGGCGATGCTGCTCGGTTAAGGCCGCCAGCCTGTCTGAAATCTGCTCCCGACGTTGCGACATCGGATGATAGCAACAGACATGCCTCCATTCGTTCGCATTTGGCCGTCATTAGCTGAGTGGCTGCTGCTCGTGTCGGGCCACCACTCTGGCCACCACTTGGAAGACGTCCTGTGAAGACGGCAGACGGGCTTACAGTACTGCCGAGACTTCAAGAATGGATCGACGGGCACCGAGGCACCGTAGTCTCTTTTTCGAGATGCAGGGCTCAGCCTTCCCTTTTAATTTGCAGGCACGATGCAACCATAGCTGGCATCGAGTCCACAAAGCTGTGTCCGCCCTGCAATGTCTTTTCGGAGTGAAGCGAGTCTTGCTTCAGGCGGTTCGAGGAATCACTGGGCTTGGAAGCTTGATGAAGCTTGCCACCGCCGAAGAAACTGATCTTCGACACACTCAAGCCGCCCTTGAGCCTGACGCTCGAAAACCCCGACACACCGCAACTGCCCGAGGGGCCTCCATTCCTTCGGGAAGGGGCGTCGTGCGGTGAAACAAGTGCGGAAGCTTGGCTACTTTGAAAGATGGGATCTTGATTCTGTGAGCGCAGTGTGCATGAGGATAGTCGGAACGGGGAGTGGCTCAGTCTCTTCAGCTTTTCGGAGCATGCAGTTTAGCTTCCCTAGGTTCTCCGAGCCTGAAGTTCGACGGATGCGAAGCAGCTTCCAGGACAAACAAAGCGATCATGGGTGCTCAACGGATATATGCCAAATCGAAGGTGCCCTCCCAGCCCGTCACTCGGAACTATGTTGACTAAGCAGACGCAGTCGACTCAAGCGTGGGCTTCAACTAAGACCTTTGCAGATTCTCAGACCCTCTGCTTGCCTGAAGAACTTCTTCGTTGGCAATCGGGCGGTTGTCAGAACCTGCCGCAGCATCGCATCCGGTGCGACATCATGACACCAACACTAAGTATCCACCAGCAGTGCAGCTGCAGCTCTGCAAGCGATGCGGGACTACATTCACAAAATCAGCCACGAATTTGTACAACTGACGCATCCAAGGCCTTCTGCTCGCAGTTTCCAGCCCGACGTGTTGTTAGCATTAACTATAGTATATGGTAGGCTTCTTCGTAGTCGTTTTCAGAAAGCTGGAGATCAATGCAACCTGCTTCTGGCTTGTCGAGGCTACGCAGTGGCACGCGCGATCGGAGGCTTCCCACAAATCTCTCGGGCTAGGAGTGTGCAGTTAACAATACTTACTAATCAATAATGTATATCCATTCCAGCATTGCGCACCATTAACAGCAAATTCCACATACCAGCACTAGTCACTAGTCGTGCGACAAACCTTCGAAGCATTTATGAGATGTGGCGATAAGACAAAAATTGGAGCATCATGTCGGATCTGTGTCTCCCCGTTCGGGGCGCGTGCCCAATGGCTCGTCCCAGCGAGGAAAGCTGACTCCGTCGCCTGCATCTATCATTGGAGATGCAGGCCTAGCTCATCTACACGAATGGGTTCTCGATCCCGATGATCCGAATCCAGGTCCGGTAGAGGTGGTGCGGTTCTTCGCCATGCCCACCCAATCGGCCTAGCGGCTCGAACGGCTGCACCGGGAAGAACCAATCGGGCCTGGCTGTGGGCTAATGGTGCTATGTGTCTGGGTCAGCTCCCATCTGGGGCAGGCGCCCGAAGACGCCAAAGACTTGCTCCAGGTTGGCCAGCTTGCTGCCTGATTTCGGTCACTCTCACGGAGGCCTGCACATTGCATCAAGGTCTACCGTCAGAGCCAAGATACCCAAGTCGTAGGGATTTGCCATGTTGTCGTAGTTGGCCTGCTCTGACTCAACCCTTGAGATCGTTTTCTCAACGTGCCCAAGGACATGTGGACGCTCGCACGTCAGCGGAGCCGGAATAAAACAGAAGATCTGTGCGAGTAAACCTTATGGATTCGTGCTACGCAATGCTAATCCCTGCTACTAGTACAACAATGTATCAGGAGGGAACGATCGATATGATTCTGGTTGAACACAAGTGTCAGCAGCTTCCTGCAAGCTGTACTTATGTATTTTACCTCATGGCCATGAGTGGTTGTTCATGTAGCTTGACACAGCTCTACTTCGGACCTGAAACACTGCACATTCAGTATCGGGGTCTGCATGAGCCTTTCGTGTCTAAGCCCTCGCATCTCAGCAGGGTGTCCAGCGGCTTTGTACATAGATTCTACACCCTAGGATGTTCCAATTTGGCTCGCAAGCGCAATCTGCGATCGCGGAGCGAGCGCAGCTGGCAGTAACTCTGAAAATGGAATCCTTGTCGCAATCTCCAGAACCTATGCCCTCTTAGGACACACAAAAGAGAAGCTCAATGCGAACTCCAGTTTTCCGTGGCACCGCAGGCTCACTAGTTTGGCTCACAAAAGGGGCCCCTTCGAGAGATCATGTTGCGAAAGGCAATGCGCACTCAACGGCCAACCACACTACCCATGGAACTTATGAACTCGCACAATCCAAATCCGATGATGCCCTCGGAGTCAATCCGCGAAGCCTCAATGGCCGTCGTGTTGCTGAGTGCCAGTGGCACGTGGGTAAACCTGCCAAAGACGGATTGCGGAAGTTTTTCTGTCAGTATCTAAGAAGTCAATGCCCCTGCCCTGCCCCCAAACCGGGAGTACATTATACTACATTCTGTGAATAACAACAAATGCAGCCATCTGGTTGGGCTGATTGGGCTTGATACTCGTCTCTGGCGGGCCTTGGGAAGAAGCATTTTCCCCTTTCATGGAGTTCTACCTTTGTGGAACAGCCTCCACCCAGGCCTTCCCGGCATTTTCTGATCACCCGGCTCTGCCATGAACGATGGGTGAACCAGCGCGGCTGCTTCTCCCAAGCCAGGACCCGGTAACCCCGGAAAAGCGTCTGCTGGCGTGTGCAGCGCTGCACATCTTAGCGCCGCACAGCATTGGCAGCAGCAAGATGCAAAGGAACACAGCGAGACCTGCATGGTTCGAGACTACGTCATCATCTGCCCCCGCTCTGACTTTAGATTCCTACGATAGCTCACTCTACGTTCGCTTCCCTGTCGCAGCACAGCCGTTTGACCAGCAATTTATGCAACTTCGCACCTGCAAGCTGTTGTGGCAGAGTGATTCTGACACAGCGCTCTTCTGTGAAACTGCACGCGCTCTACGACTCGCCTTCAAACATCATAAAGGCCACCATGTCCGTGATCTGAAGATCTTCCTGCCCCGGCGTGCTCACTCTCATCGGTTGACACCAAGCCGAGTCCCAGGTGAGACCGAGAAAGCCTTACTGTGCATTTGAGAACATGTGTACCAATCCTAGCTAGGTCACTGCAACAGGGACCATTGACTCAAAAGTCGCATGCGACTGCGCCTTCCACAGGTTGTCTTCAATGCCGGCGAGTTTGCCAACGCAGAGGAGAAATTCCCGGAAGGACGTAGCGATGCCAATGAACTGCCATCAATCCAGGACTCCAGGATAAGAGCATCTGAAAGGAAGCAATTCAACTTGCTATCTGAGCGCAGGTCCGATGCTAAGCTGCCGTAGACCACCAGCTGCAAGAAGAACTTGTAGTTGCCAAGCCCAACCTATATCGGTCAAAGCAGCGTTACGGCAGCGCACCACAGTTGGCTGGCATGGAGCTACAGAAAAGGCCCGCACAGTAGACGACTTCGGTGAGACTTGGTTATTGACGGCTTCGGCCGCAGAGTCGACAACAATCCAAGTCAGACGGGGAGTTGGCGAAGACCCTCTCCCCAGGCAAGCAAGGGCTGGTCATTGTGGCAGATCCCTGCGCAGGGTACCCCCACACGTGCCCCCATGCACCATGAATTGCAGGTGTGTTTCAACACATCGGACTCTGATGATGTCGACAATATGGCAACTTCTTCTCTTTACGACCCTTATGGCGCAGAGGAAGCAACTCCGAGACACAACTCCATGCTGACCTAGCATTCCTTCACCAAAGCCGGTCGAAGTGACAAAGAACTGCAACACCAAGTCCGGGCCCAAGGTTACAGCTATCAGGCAGATCTATGGGGTGCTCAAGCGTTGTCAATGTCTGCGAACGCAATCAAACCGACACCGTTCACTGCGCTGCTACCGACATACTCCTTCCGCAACAGACAAAAACGCAATACGGTCCACGCAACAGACAAAAACGCAATACGGTCCACGAGATCCGCAGTAGCTTCAGCGAGTGCAGTATGATATGAACACAACTCATTCCTCTCCGAGCGACGCAGTTGTTGACCCAAGGGCAGTAGTGGTCCATGCCTGGACGAGCGGCTCATTTAGACGCCACAGGGCTTGCGCAAACGCGCCCCGTCAGGATCCGGCGAAGGACGCAGAAGCCACTGACGTTGCAGTGGTGAGCCTCTCTCACCAAAGCAAACACACACACACAAAGAAGGAAAGACGCTGGGCTGTGCTGGCCAAAGCGGCGGCTGAGCTCCAAACCCGCTCGGGTCGCGGGATGCTGCATTTCCGGCAGAAGGTCGCCTGTCAAACCACATTTCAGATTCCAGGAAGGTAGGCTCAGCTTTCTCAGCAATGCCCTCGAAGATTCATCACTCTGTTCAAAATGATCCGGCGTGTTACAGTCACGATCGTTGCCGAGCATGACCTGGACTGCGAGTGCGATGACTCACCCTGCTAAGCCAGGGCGTGCTCAGGGACCCCAAGTGCCGACTTCCAATGTCCAAGTTCCGCCGTGACGCCTTCCCCGGTGTCCATCTGGCCGTCGAGGGAACGACCGGCAGAGCCTCATGTTCCGCTGCCCCTTCCCGAACCTAGGGCTTTTGGAGACCTCCGAGACTTCCAAACATCTCGAAACGCCGAAAGACCCAAGCAACGCATCATGCTGCATGATGCTGCAGCGGCAGCTGACCACATCAGGCTGCAACTTAAAACATGTGACTTGTGAAGCCCGTGGTAGCCGCCCCGCGAGAGCAGAGTATGACGTGTTGGTGGATATAGGTCCGGTTAGGTTGTCGGAGAAGCCTTGGGCGTTGAAGGATCAGCCCTTGACCACCCTGGCTACGAACAAGGCATGGGAATCTCACCACAATCGCCGCAGGCTTGTCGCGACCTACACTGAGGCAGGGAAGTCCTAGCTCAGTTCTACAGACTGTATGCCCAATCAAGAGCTGGAAGCCACTGTTGGCAGCCCATCTGTAAAACGCGGCCAAAAACGTAAGATTCAGGTTCTCTCTGCCGCTCTCCTCCTGCCCACCGGGCTGCTGCAGATGTCTCATGAGCTCAAAAAAACAAGGTCGAGGCTTCGGCGGATCCGACCTCAAGCACGAATTCATGCCACGAAGTCGGGACCTCAAAGTTCGCAAGACCATGGCCCACCCAGCAGGAACAATGCCGTCCCAACTGATAGGATACGTGGGGATGACTTCGGCGTTAGAGCGCATGGTTTCGGGTTTACAGCTTTGTGGGAGGCTTACTCTTCTTCGGCCTGCCAAAGTTTGCCACTGGAGCACCTGCTAGGTAGAGCCAGACTTGCGCATACTCAGCACCCTCTCCTTGGAATGATTCTTCACGTGCTCCGATGTGCTTCGCGTAGCCCCGCCCATGATGCTAGCTCTGTGCACGATTACGAGACCCGGGCCCGCCCTGGATCGGCCAGAAAGGCCCGCAGGTAGGCGCAAAGGGCCAAGACCTTGTTGGGAAATTTGGCAGGAAAACAGGCGACAGCAGCGGCTCCGAAGCTCAGAACTTCATCGTCACACTAAGGCAGGCGCCCAAACGATGTTGAAAAGCAGAAAGAAGAAAGGTACTAGACTTGCCTTGCAGCTGCTCGAGACTCAAGACTTCCACCACATGCGACGTGGCATACCTTCCCCCGCAAGACTGGACGTTTGCTTTTCTAGACCTGCTCCCGCTCCTCTCCATGTCAGTTCGCCCAATTCACGCCCGAACTGGTACCCTGCCTCTCCCAAGGCGGGTAAGACCCGCCCCAAAAAAATCCTGAGCGGACTGAAGCAGGGAAAGGCTTGGGAAGGACGGCGATCACGGCCCGAAGGCAACACTGTCACTGCTACTGGTCTTGACACGTCACGCGTCCAGTGCTCCCCTGAAACTCACTCACCACCATCAAGTAGAATCAAGCACGCGAGATGCCATCAAGATACAAATTGTAGGATGTTCCCTCGTAGATAAAGACGCAAAGGGTGACGGACATGGTCATCTGCAGGCAAGCTCAGGTTCACTCTGCGAAATGCCTGAGATCCAGAAGCCATTTCGGGCAGACGAACATTGCACAGCAAGCCGGTCATTGTAGAACATCTTCTAGATTCTATCGTGTGGGAGGCCATCGTCCCAGTCGTCTCGAAGTTTCTCTGAAGGATCTCCTGCGATGCACCGCCTGGAAGAACATCGCCGTGTTGGTCGTCACGTCGCACGAATACTCTTTGTCTTTAGCTTCCTCGCTGCGGCTACATGACTTCTATCAACGTACAATCAGCAAGTCAAAGACCGACAGCATGGTGACTTGGGTTCCGTACCTCAAAGAGCCCACATCTGCCAGGTAGAGTCATGTGCTCATTAGTATCCTTCTTCAAGAGTCAAAGAAAAAGAGAGAGCAGCAAGTCTGATGTAGTTCTGCAGCCCTATCAGTGAGCTCCTCCATGGCATGCGGTGTCTGCACAAGGCGCACCTGCTCCTGGAATCAAAAGACATTGCAAATGCATGCATGCCCCCTCCTTATACATTTGACGTATACTCTACATACATACATACATAC